TTTTTGGTAAGTATAAAATATAGAGGAACTTTGTGGCTTAGAGTCCATCACTACAAAATGTAGTGAACTAACTCAAGTTGCAGGCATAATTAAATTCTCATCATTTATACATTGGTTCCAAATACAAATTCTATTTGTGAAAATAGAATTTTCTTGCTCAAGGATGGTATTAGCTTGATTCTTATATGACTGATTTCTTTGAGTTTTTTTGCTCATTACACATGAGAAATGTTTGTGTTACCCTTTTGATTGGAGAGTGAAACGTATAAAATGATCCCGAGTGCGCTCAATGTTGTACGAACAATTATAAAAACTATGATTTGCGGAAGCAATAACCAAAGATTTAAAAACTCTTCAGGGAGGCATCCCACTTCCCCTCAGAGCTCTTTCATTGACAACTATTGAATACATAGTTTGGATTTACAAAATAGAACTCCCTTCTATTCTAACCACAACTATGATCTAGCCTATCAATTACTTCTCCGGCCACGTCCCGTGGACTTATTTTTCCACACTTACTCCCTAAATGTAAATGATCAAAATGTTCAAATCAGAATAAGCGAAAACAATACAACTGAATGGTCTCAGTTCCTCAACGATCAAATCAATTGAGAACAGAACCGACAGGACAAATAAAAATGTAAGCAAGAAACTTGAAGCTTGAAGGTGATGAAGAATTGTCCTTATTTCAGCAGCCTCCTTCAATCTTCAAGATCGGCTTTTATATAATTTCGTTGGACTCCCACACTCTTTGGTCTCTCTTGGGTAAATCCCATAAGTCTTTCCATGTGAGGACTCTTCTTCTCTCTCCACATATTCTCTTGCCTTACTTATCCAATCTTTTCCTTTTCTTTCGTGATGTACTATACGCGTGAAGTTCCCTTCCCATATCAACGATATCCTACAACATGTAAATATATAATAAGATCAAATATAATATGAACTAATTTTGGTAACAAAAACTTCCCTTATTTATGCATGGCAGGAACTTCCTTAAATTTTGAACTCATGCCAAAATATATCTTTCAATCTCCCCCTTTGGCATCTAGTTCGAAAATTTCCTGCAAGAGATAAACAGCAAGAACAACACAAATTCTGCAATAGATAAGTAGTTCTACTGATTAGTTCCTGCAAGCAATAAATAGTGAACTGCATCCTCAAACCACCTAAAACCAAGGTTCATCACAAAAGTAATAGAAGCAACAGGCAATGTAGCACAACACTAAAACAAAAGAAATAGAGTACGAGGTTCTTTAATACATAAAGACCTCACTACATCCATCCACACACGTCCTAAACAACTAGAGCTAAAAAACTAGAGCAAGCAGCAGCAACAATCTTCAATCAGAGGTAGACTCTCCCCCTGAGTCAGAGGTATCCTCTTCAGCTTCAGACTCATCTTCATCTTCATCACCCTTGGCCTTCTTCTCCCCCTTTTTCGAACTACGGGATGCCGAAGGACCAATCCCCGAGTTTTTGCGCTGCAGTCCCTTGACAGCCTGAAGGACTTGGTGAAGATATGTCTGCTGGGTAGCAACCTTCTTGGCCACAGCATCCCACTCAGCCAGCTGCTGAACCAAGAATTCATCCCACTTGGTGGGAACCAGAGAAGGAGCAGGATCAAACTTGGTCTTGGGAGTGGCCTTTACATTCAGCGTGCGGGCACTCACAATAAAGGCTTTCCTAGGGTTCTCAAGAGCATCATTAAATCGAGGGTTTAAAGAGAAATTGTTAGCAGCAAGGAAAGGACCAAATCAAGCAAGGAAAAGGAAGAGTACGACGAGACTCAGAATTAATGATGAAAGATTGGATAATGTCAAAGGCAACCTCACCAAAATTGAACACCTGTCCATCCATAATCCAATAGATGACTTTGCTCTAAAGTTCAGTGAGCAAGTTCTTGTTGGAGGTAGGTGTCCAATTCCCAGCACCAATCTTATGAAGAATGTTCGCGGTAAGGCACAAGCAGCTCACAGGCAAATTCGAACCAGGCCATGTATCAAGATTTTTATCAGAGAGGGTTTGGGTAACAACATCAAGATCAACTTCAGACAAGGATGGAACATCAGCAGGTAAACCCAAATGCAAGTTCAAAAGTTCAGGAGAAAAATCAATGACTCTATTCCGAAGAAAGAGTTTGTGAAAACGAGGGCTACCAGGAGTAAAAACAGCAGGGGTCAAATTAGCATAAAATTCTCTCACAGCTTGACCACAAAAAGGATTAAGATTAGTTACGGTTTTAGACAAACCCACAATATCAATGAGCTTGACAATACCCAAATCCTCATACTTCGCATCACCAAGAGGGTGTTCAGCCCAAAAGCCATAAGTAGAAAAATCTTCAAAACGACCAAAAGCAGCTTGAGTATAGAACCTGTTCGAGTAGGCGTTGGACAAGTCATAGCCGTCATCTTCAGGTTCTTGTTCAACGGGAGCGGTTTCCATGGGTTCTTTACCCGCTCGCCTAGCGGATCGACGAACAGACTGTCGACGAGGAGGAGTCTCTTCGTCGGAGCGAACTTCAATGGCTGTACCAGCAGTGTCGGATTTGTCTCCCTCCTTGGTGGTCGACTTTGTCCCAGAAGTGGGAAGTGCCGATGACTCCCCCTGAGTTGTGCCGGCCGCAATGTCTTGAAGCAACTGGGGCGAAAGAACAGGAATATTAGTAGACATCGGAGAGGGTTGAGGAGCTTTGTTCTCGGTGTCCGCCTTTGCCGGAGATGAAGTCGGGGTAACAGGTGATGTATCCTGCGGCTGAGAAGGTTCCGGAGGCGGCGACGTGCGCGGTGAACTCGGAGCGACTGAGTACCGACGCCGCTTAGATCCCTTATCCTTGTGCTTCTTATGGCGTTTCTTCGACTTATCCTTGCTACCAGCCATGGATAACAAATGAAGGTGGGGAATTTTGGAAAACTAGGGTTTGAGACAAATAGAGAGAAGGAAGAGAAAACACAATAAGAGAGAGAGAGGATGCGTGTGGATCTAAAAAGAACTGTCATAGAAAACTGCAAAAGGCACGTTCCTCATTTCAAGGTAATTGGAGAGAGAAAGAGGTTGGGCGGTTTAGGTATCTAAATCCCTTCCAAAACCAAATTCAAACACCTCACAACTTCCCACAAAAATAACTTCCCATTTTTTTCGAAAATTAAGTAGGGAAATCCGATTTTATGCCGTCATATGTACCACACAAAATATATGAGACCCAAATAATTCAAATTCTCCAAGGAAACCACATGATTTATGCCTAAGGATGAAAAAGAGTAAACAAAAGCATGCAAGACACCAAGATCAACAAAATTCATTCCTAGTCACCTGTAATGAGATTCATGCTTAATTAATCCAAAATGATATTGTGTCACAAACACACCAAGGAACAAAACAGAGGCGAAATATATATACATATATATATATATATATATATATATATGTAGTGCAAACCATATTTCTCCAGAATTCTTGCACCGAAAAAAAACATGAGCTTTATTATTCACTAGGTGTTTCACTTAGTAACAATCACTGCAATAGTGAAAGTCAACCCCACTACTTTACCCAATGATTTTAAGCAACACATTCACATCGAGGTGTTTCACTTAGTAACAATCGCTGCAATAGCGAAAGTCAACCCCACTACTTTGCCTCAATGCTCGATGAAGAACCTCTTTTTTTTTATATATATATATATATATATATTTTTTTTATAAAACATTATGCACTACTTTTTTATGATAATGACCACCTTATAACTCCAAGTAGAAAACCCCACACAATCAAGTGTAGTGGTTGTCAATAGCTACCACCCTTCACACGTTTTCTGTCCATGACGCTCTTTTCACAGTCGATCCAAAAGGAAACGAACCATGTGCTAGCTATCGCTCTAGATCATTGTGTGAAGGCAGCTCTTGTTGACAGAAATAAATTTGTTCCAAGGCATGAAATAACACGCAATCAATCAAGGACAATCAACACTTCACCCACTTACAAGAGAGTCGGAACTTCATTTATGACTTAGTGGTGGGAGATAATGTAACAATGCAAAGTATGACTAATGCAATTTAAACCTACGTGCTTACAGGCAATGCAATATATAATAACATATATAGTATACAATACAATATAATATAATGCAAGTTCATGCAAGAATTCAGGGAGTGCACATCCCTAAGGATTTCCTTAGAGACATGAACCGCTGGGAATCCAGAGCTTTGGTGAATATATCAGCCAACTGGTTTTGTGTTGGCACATAATCAAGTATAATCACTTCATTGTCTACCAAATTTCTAATAAAATGGTACCGTATATCTATGTGTTTGGTTCTGGAATGCTGAACTGGATTCTTAGAGATATCGATAGCACTGGTATTGTCACAATAAAGGTTTATGGTTCTTACCTGAAGGCCAAACTCCACCATCATTTGTTTCATCCACACAAGCTGGGAGCAGCAACTTCCAGCCGAGATGTATTCGGCCTCCGCGGTAGACAATGCAACACAATTCTGCTTTTTGCTTAGCCATGAAATTAAGTTGTTCCCAATGTAGAAACAACCACCAGAAGTGCTTCGCCGATCATCAATGTTCCCAGCCCAGTCAGCATCACAGTACCCTGCAAGACTAGATGTAGTATCGTGAGCATACAAAATTCCTAAATCTGAAGTACCATGAACATACTTAATTATATGTTTCACGACTTTCAAATGTGATTCCTTAGGATTAGACTGATAACGAGCACACATACCAACCGTGAAACATAGATCCGGTCTACTAGCAGTCAAATACAACAAACTACCAATCATACTCCGATAGAGTGTGGAATCAACTGGTGTTC